GAGGAACACTCACATGTCCCTTCTTCTTCATTATCTTATTCTAACCTTGATCATGTGGATTTTATTTTTGGGGATTTACAGGAATATGCAGGGATTGATCTTGTAAATGAATGCAGAAATAAGTTACGGATAATCCTACAAGAACAATTCTCCGCTCAAAATGAGGTCAAGAAAGAAAGAAAAGAGCGGGTCTTTAAAAAATCCCTAAAAGACTTTGGCCTGATGAGCTCCATAAAGAATCCCGAGGAGTGAAATCGAAAAATGCATTCAGAATTAGGGGTGGAGTTCACAAGTTCTCGAAAGCGGAAAAAGTCTAGGAGAGTTTTCTTTACCTCTTGCTTTTTATTTGCGTGTCATGGGGACATGACATAATTTAAAGTATGGGGTAGGGATCTAAATATGTAAATAACTGTTTGTTTGTGTTTCTTGTGTGTATTTTCATTTCTTTTTATTGAACTTTTTAAAGTCGAAAAAAACAATTATTTTCTTTAGGTAGTACAATTATTTCCCCTTGGTTTTTCTTTATGCCGCAGTTCTTTTCCAAGGGTTTTGTTTGAACCAGGTATAGTTAGTTTTTTCTTTTTTTAGGAGTAGAAAACCTTGTTCTGTGATTTTAAATGAAAGCAATAGCTCTTGACTTCATTATGCCTTGAGAATAATAAGTGCTTTAGTTGTGACGTTTAGACTCAGTTTTTGACTCTTGTATAAGCACCTTAAATTGAACGATCTTAACTTTGCTTAACTACTTTGATTAGAGTGTCTTGATGAGTCCGATCCTGAGTGAGTTATATGCCATGTGTGTGTGAGGTTTTGTGTATTCTGTGCATTGCATTTGATGTCTAGAACTTGCCCCGTGTGCCCGCAAAGTTTGTTCAGTCTTGGAAGTGATATAGGCGTTTCTTTGTTGAGCCAGCTATATAGTTTACCCACCAAATTGTTATGTATCGTAGTTAACCCCATTGAGCATGTAATTCTGTTTCTTTGGAAACCACATTACAAGCTTTATCCTTTTATTTGAATTGACCATCTATTTGAACCATTTACCTCTCGTGAGCACTTGAAATTGGTATGAACTTTGTAAAAGTTGAAGTGTGGGGTGGTTGGTTTGGCTTTTGAGTGGAACTATTGAAATAAGGAGAAAGGTGCACCGTTGTGAAAAAGTATGAGCCACTTGAATCGAAAAATAAAATGAAGAAAAACAAATAGTTTATATTCATTGATAGTGGTAACTCTTGATGTATTTGTGCTTAAAGAAGTTGGGAGTTGACATATACGGATGTGAAGGTGGAGTTATGGTTTGACATAAGTGTGGGATTTAAAGGTCAAGTATATGTATTAAAAGTGCTTAGGGAGGTGTAGTTACTCTTATATCTAAATGTATCCTACCCGCCCCGCAGCCTACATTACAACCAATTAAAGTCCTACTTGATCCTTGACCGAATAAGCTCGATTAGTAGAGTAGTACACTATGGGAAAGCCTATGGTGCATCTTTTGGGGCATATGAATATTGTTTCTAAGAGTGAGTAAATTCTTTCTATCTTGAGTTCCTAATTATTCTTAACTTTTATTGTGTGTGGAACTACTCTCTATTGTTGGGTGAGGGAACTTGATTCATGAAGGAAAAGTATTGGCATTGACCTCTGTGCTAGAGTAAGTGAGCGAGTTGTAAAAAATTCGTGGTGCTGTTGAGTCAAATCTTGAGACTAGGATGTTACACTATTGTGCTTAGTCTATTTTAAATATTCTTGGTATGATGAGTTATGAGAGTTATTTAAAAAGGTCATGTCTATGTGAAGTGTAGTTTGATTGCTCGAGGACGAGAAATGGTTTAAGTGTAGGGTGTTGATGGTAGGCTATAATCCCGTATTTTAGTCTCTTATTGCACTCTAATTTACTGTACTTTAATTGAGTTGGAGCATTAATCGCTAGTGTTTTACACTAATTGTGTGTTTTATGCTTTGTAGGAGTGATTCCGATCTATGTAGATGTTGTGGAATGAATTCATGCTATTTTGGAGATTTGAAGTCTGAGTAAAATTCCAAGGATTAAGTTTGGATCGTGATCGGGGATCAACGAATGATAGTGTACTTTAAGAACGAAACGAAGAATCGAGCAGGCATACTGTGCCATGTCCAGTAAATGCACATAACTTTTAGCTCCGAAATCCGTTTGGGCTCCACAATATATCGTTGGAAATCTATTTAAAAGGGATACAACTTTCATGTTTTACACTTTCCCAAATTCCCAACTGATACTACCCAAGTGCACGACCAAGTGCATGATCGCGCATTAGGCGCGCACTTGGGGCAGAATGGTATGAAAAATGCACGACCAAGTGCGCGAGCAAGTCCCTAGGTGCGCGACCGCACATGTCCTGTCCGGGAAGATTCCTATTTTGCTAAGAAAAGGGTAGTTTCATCCGTTTTTATTTTGGGGGTGGATTAAATACCCCAAAACACCATTTTCGAATCACTTTTGACATACCTTAGACTTAGGGAAGCTAAGGAGAAGAAGGATAAGCAAGAGCACAGGGATTTCGCCCTTCATTTCTCACTCAAGATCTGGGTTTGGATTGTATTTATGTTTTTCTCTATTTTTGTTTTATTTGTGAAGAACTCCTCCATGTCTATGGAGTAGAACCATTTGGATTTTGATGGATTTGGTATATTGATGGTTGTTTGTGGATTATATCTCTATGTTTATGTATTTGAATCGTTTTTAGAATATTTAATTGTTGCATCTATGTTCACTTGTTCTTGTAATTGAAAGATGTATAACTTATGATATATTTGCACTATGTTGTTGGTTAAGTTCATAGATTCTTCTAGGTAATCGAAAGAGGCTAGTTGAATCCTTGATTAAATCTAGTTAGGAGGATAATCGAAAGAGGTTCTCCTAAAGACCAATTCATTATGAATTCTTGCATATCTTCATCGAGTTTAAATTGGTTCATATTGTGAGGTTGAGAATTAATCGAGAGAGGAGTTTCTACTAAACAATTGTACTGATAATTAAGTGAATTCGAGAGACTCACTTGAACATTAGAAGTGAATTATCTAGAGTTAGATCCCGAACAATTATCTTGCACCTATACTATCAATCCATATTTTTTCCCATTGATAACTCCCTTGCTTATCTTTGTTGCGATTGTCATTAGTCAATAGTTGTAGATTTTAGATTATTAATTATATAAACCTCAATTGTTGATCCTCCTGGATAACAATCTAGCTTTAAACTACGATAATGCTGTTTAAATCTAATCCCCGTGGACACGATATTATACTATACTATCTTTGACTAGCGAGCACAATTTAAGTGTGTATTTTGCGCTCGTCACTATACTATCTTTGACTAGCAAGCAATAATTTTGTATTGTGTTTTGCGCTCGTCACTAATGCCTTTCATATCCCGTTCATACTATCATGCCACCCAGACTTCTCTTGCCTCCTTGCGATCAAAGAATACATGTTTACTATTTTTCACCCAGCCACAAAAATGACACCTCACTTGAAGATTAATGCCTTCAGCCAGTAGATTTGATTTAGTAGGTAAAATATTTCGAGCTCACCTCTAAATAAAATCTTTAATTTTTGGAGCTAACTTCAAGTTCCAAAGCNCGCATCTCAATGATAAGAATAAGAACAAAGGAGATCCAGAAGAAAAGGGGGCATTTGCATCTATATCTAGTTTTAGGGTGAAATTATAGTTATTTTGCCCAAAAACTTGCAAGCCTACCCGCTTTAGGATCAATTTTAGACTTATCGGATCTGAAGTTGAAAAAATAATTAGCGTGAAGTGCAATGCACTTAAGGCCAATTAAGTCTAAAGTGCAATAACTGCACTTAAGGCCAAATATGTCTGAAGTGCAACAAATATTTTCATGCACTTTAAAGCCAAATAGATATGAAGTGAAAAAATTGCACTTCAGATGCACTTAAGGCTAAATGGTCTGAAGTGCAACCAATATTTTCATATACTTAAGGCCAAATAGGTCTGAAGTCAAAACATTACACTTCAGATGCACTTAAGGCCAAGTAGGTCTGAAGTTTAACTAATATTTTCATGTACTTAAGGCCAAATAGGTCTGAAGTGCAAATTGCCCATAAATAGAAACTTGTTGTTCGAATTTCAACAATCAAATGTACGATTTAACACCTAAATCTACTCCAAATGAACTCAAATTTGAAACATAACTCCAAATATCATCAAGAGGAACCAACTCATGAATTTGTCAACACAATAATAAATCTAACAAACCCATTTTGCAATTAAGAAGAAGAAGAAAAAGAAACCCTAAGCAATAGTAAAAAATAAAGTGCCACAGCAGCTCACCACTATAAAACACCATAAACTACCTTAAAATATGCAATTGACCGTCACCTTTATTTTCACATAAGAAGAAGAGAAAAAGGCCTAAAGTTGTCTATACTTTGAAATTTTTTTTAAAAGTTGGTACAAGTTAAATGATCAAATTGGGCACCCGTGTAACTTTTACGAAGAAAAGAGCGTTAGGTTTGTAGAAGTACTTTTAATTACTTCAGGCCAACAACGAACTATTACTCTAAATTGAATGCCCTCGTTAACTCCCTGCCCTATGAAAACAAGATTTATAATATGAGTAGCTTCGGAGTCAACGAATCTCTTATAGTACAATTTTACTAATACAAAATGGAAATTCTGGTTGAGAAAAATAAAGAACTATTCTTTCTTACCTTTTGTGGTTCTAGTATTCTGCACTTTTAGGAACTTTTCAGAGAAAATTGAATTAGTAAGATTAAGAAAAATCTGGAAAATTCAATTTAATGTATTGGACTAATGAAACCTTTTCTAACCTTTTATTGGGCTCGTGTAAATGGCCCAATAAGGTTCTAGTATCCCAAAGCCAGCCCAGCTTATTTAAGCACCTCATACATAACCAGAACAACAGTTCCCGCTGAGTTTGAACTCTTCTTCTTCTTCTTCTTCTTCTTCTTCTTCTTCTTCTTCTTCTTCTTCTTCTTCTTCTTCACTTTCATCTGCTGCTAAAGAAGAAAAAGAAAACCCAGGGACGATTCTTCTCTTACGAAGATGTTCAAATCCATAGGTAAGAATCTTTTCCAGTTTTCCTGCTCCATTAACACACACATTTACACACTCATTTTCCTCTTCAATCATACTATTCTTTTCAAGAAATTAATTAATCAACGTTCGTTTTTTTCCCCTTCTTTTTAATACAGCTCTTTTTCGGTTCAAGAAATCGTCAAAACCATTCAAAGATTATTACAGTAAATGGTTCAAGACGCTCAAGAACGTTCACCTCCCTCAGCTCCGTCACGCCATGTCATCATCCTCCACGGCGGGGCCCATTTTCTTAGCTTCCCACGTCGAGGTCATGCACCGTCACTTCCTTAATTACTACGAAGCCCTCGACCTCGCCGCCGCAAACGACGTCGCTCAGGTTCTTTTTCCCGACTGGCGAAATTCCTTTGAAAAACCCTTCCTCTGGCTCGGTGACCTTCACCCTTATCTCTTCATAAATCTCCTCCGTTCATTTCTTGGTGATGACTCGGAATCCGAATTCGACCCGGAAATATTCGACAAACAACAGAATTGGCACGTGGTGATGGCATGGAAAAGCCGCTCGAAGAAATTAACGACAAGGGTCGATCAGATTGAGTGTGGTTTAAGGCTTATGGTACCTGCATTGGTGGCGCGTGCACGAGACGCGCAGGCGGCGTTTGTGGAGAAAGTGGCGGGTGAATGGGGGAGGTTTGAAGGGAAAAAAGAGGAGATGAAAGGGGTTGTGGTGGAAGCTGCGGCGGCGGAAATGGAGGAGTTGGTGGGTGTTTTTGTGGATGCGAATAGGCTGCGGAGGAGCGTGCTTTCCGACATACTGAGCGTGACGGATGTTTATCAGGCGGCGGTTTTTCTTGAAGGGTTAGCTCAATTCCTTGTTGGGTTACGGAATCGTGAATTGGTCCGTCAATTTGAGAAGTGTTCTTTGGAATTATAGTTCCATTCGTTGGGTTTGCTGAAGTCAGTGCATAGATACTATTTGGTTAGTTCTAATTTTGTGCACTGCTCTAACTTAAGCCAATAATCATGATTAATTTCCACTAATAGTAGTTGATAAGTAAATTTAGAGCACTAAAGATTCTAGTAGGTGACTTTTATGAGTTTGTGTAGTTTGGTTTCTGGTTCTTGATTTGGAAGTACGTGGAAGATAAGACTGCAATCTTCATTTGATTTAGTTTCATTATTGCTTGTTTGTTTTTATTTGTTCCCTTTGTGATTCAAAGTTACATTGTTGAATGAAGAGAGTTGTAAGGAAAATCTGGATTTTTTATTGATTTGGAGTCTATGAAGACTTGAATGACAGAAATTTTGTTTAACCATACCATAAAAAAATTAGTATTTTAGTCCGGGCTATTGCTAAAAAGGTTGCTACTTTATGAATTTTATGTAGATGCATTGAGGAGAAGAAATCTGTAGATTGAAAAATGCATTATACATAGTTTATTTTGCTCGGCATTTTAGATAAATGTGGTTTTATGCTTCAGAATGTAATGGTAGGTACAACTCGTAAATGACAAATTATCTCAAATGTGTGCTGTGAGTCAAAACGGGTCGGGTCAAATAATGGACTCCTGCTGGGCTTCCCTCTCTTCCATACAATGATAGGAATAACTTAGATGAATTGATTCATTTTTAATAAACTTAGGTCAGAGTAACAATATAAAACAAGAATATAGACAAGAGATATAGAGAGGAAGAGAGAACTTTCTTATTTTATTAAGGGTCTGTTTGGAAAGTTACCCGGTAATTGAAATTGGTGTAATTACTAGGGTAGTAATTACGCATCCTAGTAATTGCACAGTCTAGTAATTACAATGACCTGTTTGTTTGTCATAGCGTAATTATAGTGCAATTACAAGCGTACTGTTTGGTTGAACAAGTGTAATTACACAGTTAGTGTTACACCCTATGTTTTAGTACGTGGAAGTAGGCTATAAGTAAATTGATATAAGCTCAGAAATGAGATGTTACATCCTAAATTTTCGGACGTTAAAGTTTCGTCGTAAGTTAATCGACGTAAGATCGAGGATGAGATTATTTTTGAGGTTATAAGTATTATGCTATTTCAAGCAAGTGATAAGTAAATTCGTGACGATGAGAGGATAAGCGAATCGAAGAAAATGAGTTTTGTCACAAATTGACAATTTGGGATAAAATACGATTCGAGCTATAATACTCGGTATTTATGAACTAGTGCATACAAGGTACTACATGACCATGATAGTGAGGTATACAAGATAAGTTAAAAGTGAATAGTATTTTAAATAAGTTGAGATAATTCTTAATTATGTGGATAATTGGATAATTGATAATTTTTAGTGGGAGATTAATTAAAATCTTTGGATAATTAATGATTTTGATGGCTTACCTCCACAAATCACTCTTAAAGTGACTATTAAGTCTTACATATGTGGTAAATTTAGAGGATTAAGTGGCTTACTCATCAACTAAGTGGGCCATACCCACTAAGGACTTTTTACAATTAGTAAGACATAAGATGCTATCTTATTGTGAGTTTCTAAAGGCTTAACGTGAGTTCTTACAAATCAATCTCTTATTACGAACGTGAGTTATTTCTAAGCGTAAGATGCCATTTATGTGTACATTACAAATCAATGGAATCTCTTATTTCAAATCAATTATGTATACAAATCAATCTCTTATTACAAACGTGAGTTCTTTCTAAACGTGAGATGCCATTCATGTGTACATTATAAATCAATGGAATCTCTTATAGAAAGTGGCTGGTCGTGAGTTCTTCAAAGAGCAAAACAATTCCACACCAAAATTAGATAAGGTTGGTTGTTGATTCTTTAAAGCGTGAATTGCAAATTCTAAGAGAATCGGTTCAGGTATATTAAGGCTATCCCTTATTTCTTTTGGCATGATCCATACGACATAAATAAAACGAGAAAATGCACAATTTTCATACATGGCTCTATTCATAGAAATATTAGAGATGCTTATGTGATTCCCCACGTGTCATATTATTTTATTATCTATTCATGGGTCTCAGAAAAATACGTATTTGATAAAATTTATACAACAGGCATATTATTTTTATGACATTCCGAGAAACTCTTTTTAAGAGGGGATGATGGGATGCCCTAAGAGGCTTGATGATGTTATGAACACATATACCAATGCATGGTATGACATTTATACGCATATGCATGACATTATAAAAATAAAATAATTCACAAAGCTATGCAGACGTATATGCCGAGTCTTTTACTCCATGTATCTCTCATGTCTATTATTTACTAATTTTTATTCCTTACATACTCGGTACATTATTTGTACTGACGTTCCTTTTGCATGGGGACGCTGCATTTCATGCCCGCAGGTCTCGATAGACAGGTCAAGAGTCCTCCAACTAGGCGATCAGCTCAGCGGAAGATGTTGGTGCACTCCATTTGTTCCGGAGTTGCTTACGTGTTTAGTATGATTAGGACATGTACTGATTAGTATGACGGGGTCCTGTCCCGACCTTTATGATATTTATATACTCTTAGAGGCTTGTAGACATACGTCGTGTACGTGAAAGATTATACGACCTTGTCTGCCTATGTTTTGAGTTTATAAATGATGATGTTGGCCTATTAGGCCCGTATGTCACGTGTATATAATGATGTAATAAAAAAGATACGTTACGTTGATACTTGGTTGAGTAAGGTACCGGGTGCCCATCGCGGCCCATCGGCTTGGGTCGTGACAAAAGTGGTATCAGAGCAGTTCTGTCGAAGGGAGTCTACAAGCCGTGTCTAGCAGAATCTTGTTTATAGGTGTGTCGTGCACCACACTTATAAGCAGGAGGCTACATGGCATTTAGGATTGTCACTCTTTCTTCTTACTCTTGATCGTGTGGTAGAGCTCAGTTGTAAGAACTCAATTTCCTAAACTCTATCTTATTCGTAATACAACGATGCCTATATCCAGAAAGACAGTTGGTATGAGATATAGCTGTGGAAGAGTTGAGTAAGAGGAACTCAATTTTTGCATCATGCTTATAATGGATAAATATGAGGTATTCAGCAGATCATGTGTACACTAAGACGTGTAAGCCTTTTGATAAGGAACCTTAAGGCAAGAATATTTATCCATCTTTATGGTGAAGGACAATAAGAGATTCAGAAGATAAATACCAGTTTCAAGAAGTAAAAGAAGCAAGATGAAAAAGGGTACGAGGTATCCAGTTAATAAAGATTATCATTATTTACCATTCAGGAAGGGAGATATAAGCATTTTGAGTTACCTTCAACAGTGACAAATGTATGTACAATCGGCCATATCGATCTCAGTTATGCCCTATGGGAGCTAACATACATAGTTTAAGAGAAGGACGAGTTATCAGGATCTGGCTGGGGATAGAGTAACCCAAAATAATGGATGGATTGGTAGAGTTAGTTGACGTTTCCGAAGGATAGAGCAAACGTGGTAATGGATCTCCTTGTGAGACACCTCGATGGTGCACCCTAAAATAGTACATCTAGATATGAGTGCTACAAAGATAAGCACTAGAAGCCTGGAAGGGATAAATATTACCTTAGTGTGGCTCCCATCTCTGGTAGAAAGAGAATGTTAGTCAATTCTAGGAGCCAATGGATGGAGCAAGAGGGGCTAAAAGCAAAAGAATATTTTGTTCGAGTTTTTAGAATAAAGTGATAGACAGAAATGTTACCAGGAAAATAAGAAGAGAGTTAATGGAGCAGTATGAGTAAAATATGATACATAGATGACAACGGTAGATCAAAAAAATGATAGTATTACTGAGTCTATAGTCAAGTGAAGGGAAAAACGAGAGGTGACAGGCCTTGAGACAACAAAAGAGTATAGGCTATAAAGTCATATCCTCACTTCGAAAAATAAGTTCGTGACTCCAATGCAACTACCGGAAGGAAAAGTTAGACCCCAGAATAATAGAAATTAGTATGGGCTGGTGAACAAGATAAACTAAACATGAATTAGGGATCGAGTGACTTGATAATAGTCATCATCATGAGAATTTCAGATTTGCGTTCCGACGATAATAGAATGGACAACAGAAGACTATTTATAAGAAATTCAGAAAATGGTCATTCAGGAAGACGCTTCCCTAAAGCAAGCAATATGAGCAAAGTTAAGCTTAAGGGATTGTATGTGCCAGTTGCACTAAGTGTCACCATTGCGAGTAAGGGAATTTGTTATCCTTGGTACAGAGGATTGCCTCAAGGCGAGTAAGGGTCATTGATGTTGTGAAACGACGCCAAAGATGAATAGGTAAAACATCTATAGGTAGATCCTCATGGCTTCAACTCTTAGTACTCCCCTAAAGGGTTCGGAATATGGAGTGATGTAACATTAAATCAGAATTAAGTGGTTCTAGTGACTATGGAATGGTAAAGGAAGAATGCGATAAAAATAAAAGAGGAATGAGATGGAACTTATCCAAATCCTACAGATATGCTACGATTCCAGAATATTGTGCAAGCACGACGTCAAGGAGAGAAAGTAAGGGTTCCTGCCCGATGTGTTATTAATAAATAAGGAGTCAGTGCGAGACGTAAGTTAATGCAAAGAAAATAACCCAAGAAAGATTATGCGGAATATTAAGATGAGAATGGGCCAACGAGTAGTTAGTAATTGATCAGGAAGAGCCTGTTTATGGCTAAACAGGAGGTTACAGACGAGTCAGCAGATCATGTAAGATAAACATAGTAAAACCCAATTTAGTGAATTCAACATCGCAGTTATGACACCGTGATCATTGAGAAATATTTAAATAGGAGTTGGGGTAGTTAAATGTACCATATGAGTATTACAGAGATAAAAGAGAGTGCCACTGGGAAGTCAGTCAAAATATCAAGTTCAGAAGCAACCCTACAAGCACAAGAGGGTGGAAGTAAGTAACTACAGATGATTATAGAAATGAAGGACATCAAAAGGTCCGTCAAGTATACAATGTAATAAGCTCACAACTTTACAAGAGTTAGAGGATCCTCCTTAAATAGTATAATGAAAGACTAGTTGAGGAAGTAAGGAAGAAGGTTTCAACCTAAGCTTAGTAACCTAAGAAGGAAATGGTCTTGTAAAAACAGTCTCACAACAACATTGTATGCTCTCCATAATGAAGTGGTACCTACCGTGTCTAAGGAACGGGAAGAAAAAAAAATCAAAAGTAATATTCGAGATCATATGAGTTGCACGAAAATTTCGGCATGCGTGGGAACTAAG